TGCGGCCGTTGCTTCAACCCACTAACCTTACCATTCACCATCATCGACCCATCACCACCACTCCCATTATTCCTCCTCCCGCCCTTCAACGGCGACAGCGAAGCCAACCTATTCACGATCCTCGACGGCGAAAACGACCCCTTCAGCTTCGTGGCCGTCGCCGAAAACCTCGTCGGCGATGGGGCGGCGGCAGCCTTCTTTTTCGCCCCAACTCTATCTTTCGTGGGACTGATTTTGACAGGGGACTTGATCAGAAACTTATGAGCAGCACTTTTCTGATGGGTTCTCGAGAAAATTGGCGGCGATCGAGGTCGCGTCGTTGCAGCAGCATTGTTGGAAGAATGGAACAGAGGATTTGGGAACAGAACTGTTTTCTTCCCCCACGGCTTGTTTCTTGGAGAAACTCTGTTAGCCAAATGATGGGTTGTTGTTGTTGTTGTTGTGGTCAAGTTCTCTCTGTCGGATCGTTTTCTAGGAGGGGAGATGATTTTGAAGTTGATGCTTCTGGACCGGGCTCGCCGGTGGGTCGACGGCGGCGGCGAACCGGATTCCGATCGAATCGAATTGAGCTTGTTCTGGTGCTGCTTCTCCTTCTGGCGTTTGGATTTCAGAACGGTGTCGTTCTGGGAGTTCGGCGGTGGTTTCTTCCTTTGCTGTGGCAGGGGAGTTTTGGGGTCTTCTTGGTGAACAGCGGGAGGAGGAGGCTTAACTGCTGCCACGAGTTGTTTGGCGAATTGGCTTGCTTGTAGGATTTCCCCCATTGTCTCGCCTAGTAGCATTGCTGGTAGTGACATTCTCTTCCATTCCCCTGTCAATTAATTTCTTTTTCCGTCAGTTTTGGCAAAGCATTTCACAATCCAATCCACCGATTCCATGAAACCATACATCTTGTCATTCCACGGATTCAATTAGATAGAGCTCGAATAACATGATTTTCGTATCAAAACAAATACAGAGATCAATCCTCCGATTACCTGCTGCAGCTGCCGGCAGCTTTCCAGTGGGGGATTTCCTTGCTGCAGAGGTCTTAATCCTATTAGCAGAAACAGAGGAAGTAAGAATCTAAGCAAGAAGAAAAAAAATACAAGGAAGAAAAAACAAATGAGAAATCACCTCAAAGATTCCTGCTTGCATCTGAGACTAGTCCTCAGATACCCTCTGGTGCTCCTGGGGCTCAGACTAACTCCGGAAGCAACGACCTTGTTCCCGCCCGTCACTGTGTACTGCAGCTCTTGCAACCTCGCCATGCATTTATCCACCTAATTCAATCAACAGGACACATTCAGAAAACAAAGGGGATAGGAAGAAAATTCAGAGCTTCACCAATATCTACTTTCTCAGAAACCAAACACAAGTGGGGAGGAAAAAATGTAGAGAGCCTCACCTTGTTTACTGTTTCCCGAATAAGGAGAGGGTTGAGAGGAGGTGCAGCCACGAATCTCCTCTGCTTTGGTGGGGTTCTTGCCACCATTGTTTTTGAATTGGAAATTAAGGGGGAAGAATGGGGGATACTATTATATTTTCTCCTGAAGTGGGTCTTTGTTTCCACTCAGTAAATAGCCATTAGAAGAGGGGGGAATCAGAGCTGGGTCGAATCAGTTGCGAACTCGGGTGCAGTAAGAAAGCGGAAGTGTTCAGCTTGTTTGCCTCTCTGTACTTCGGGGTTTCAGTTTTGTCTTTTGAAGTTGGGGAAAGGAAGAAAGAGAAGAAAGGAAAGGCAGATTGGGTAACGGATCTTTTGGGGGGGTCATATTGCTGGGTTTTCGGCCCCAACGGTCCAATCTATAATGAGAGAGAGAGAGGATTAAATTGGGTCCGCCGAACGGCTGCCTTTTTCATATTTGGAAATTTTATTTATATATGAAAACAGTTAAATTACTAAAATATCAGACGTAGACTTATTCTTGACCGTTGGATTTTGGATTCTGCATGCATATTGACTTTTCCAACATGAATGATCACCGCCAATTGATATTATAATCAATTAAACGTACAAAATAGTAATTAATTCAAATTCATTGCAAGAAACCTGATGTTCAAGATACAAAGAGTGAAAACTCTAATTATATTCAAATTCAATTTAGTCAAGAATTATTATATAGACTATGCTTTAGGTGAAACTAAAGCTAAATTATCTAAATTTGATTAAGACGAACAATCGAGATTAGATAAAGTTATTATGACATGAAGACATATTATCTGCCATCAAGTTACACAAGTAGTCCGTAACTTTTTTCTCCAGGTTGGATTAAGTTAGTCCGTCTAGAGAAGACACTATATATACCTTCTCAATCTCTATATCTCCTCAAATAAAGTCAATACCTGTAGATTAGCTAACACATATTATATTAGTGAATCACGTAAATTTGGTTGTTATTTACTTGCATTGTCGATTCCCCGATCCATCGATGAAACACATTTTCAAGTTATTAATTAATTAATTAATTAATTAATACATTAAAGGCTCACACTCCTCATTTTCAAGTTACTATTCATTAGCGACTCTCACACTCCTCCAAGTCCAAGTGGGGAAGTTCCAAGTTCGCTAGGTTTTCGTCTATGACATTTTGCATAAATCATCGCCTTTGTGTTTTATATTGTTCGCTAGGTTTTCGTCTATGGTTTTTTGCACAAATCATCGCTTTTGTGTTTAGTTATTGTTCGCTAGGTTTTCGTCTATGGATTTTTGCACAAACCATCGCCTTTGCCCAACATTTTGCAGCCCATCTCGAAATACTGTCGGCGGAATCCTAAGTTGTTCCCCACCACCGTTTCCAAAGGCCGCTACCATGAGTTTTGTATCGGGACCGAGTTTCATCCTCTTTAGTGTTTTGTTATTGTTCGTTAGGTTTTCGTTTATGACTTTTTGCACAAATCATCGCCTTTATGTTTAGTTATTGTTTGCTAGGTTCTCGTCTATGGCTTTTTGCACAAATCATCACCTTTGTTCACCATTTTCAGCTCATCTCAAAATACTGTCGACGGAATCCTAAGTTGTTCCCCACCAGCATTTTCCAAGGCCAGGGCGGACCTACTCACAAGAATGGGTTGTCAATTGACAAAACTTGAATGTAAAATTTGAACAAAATACCTGTGTAAAATTTTAGTTTGGTAATGGTAGTATTTGGATTCCAAACTATTTGACAGCCCTTATAAAATTTTGTCTATTGTTGAATACCCTTAATAAAATTTATGAGTCCGCCACTGCCCATGGCTGCTACCACGAGTTTTGTATTGGTACTGAGTTTCATCCTTTTTAGTGTTTTTTCTTCTCTTTTTCCTTTTTGTTGAGCATGATCACAATTGAACCCAATGACGCTACCGAAAATCCATACCATATCTACTCAATGTTGGCAAGTTTTGTATCGAGACCGAGTTTCGTTCTCTTTATGTTATTTTCTTTCACTTTTTCCTTTTTGATGAGCATGATCACATTTGAACCCAAATCCATGGGTATCCAACCTAATTCGATACAGTCAAAGCGACTTGAAACCGATTTTAGCATTTATAAATTTCTCTTTTTTCTTCTTTTGGTTGGGAGGACTATTAAACTCGAATCTAAGGTTTTGACGAGTGTTGTATTTTGAGCGAGCTTTATCCGCTTTTGTAGTTGGCAGGTTGTAACAAGTGTTAATTTGTTAAAAAATTGTTCAAAGCGAGTTGAATATGTTGTTGACCAGTTTTAAATCGAAAGCGAGTTTTGTATTAATATTTTTTTCTTTCTCATTTTCCTTTTCGTTGAGAATGACAATTGAACTCTGACCCATTATTGACGCGTTTCGTATCGAGAGCGAGTTTTATCCGCTTTTGTAATTGACAGGTAGGTAAAATTGTGAATTTGTTAAAACTGGGTCGTTCTGGTCAAAGCGAGTTGAACGCAGTGTTAAGAGTTTGGGATCATGAGCGAGATTTATCCGCTTTAGTATTTTTTTATCTTTTTCCTTTTGTTTGAGAATGACAACTGAGTCTAAACGCATGAGTATACAACCTAATTCGACCCGACCAAAGCGACTTGAACCCGATTTTACAGGTTTCCGGCGGGAGCAAGTTTTATATGTTTTTGTAATTGGCGTGTTGTCTCGGATGTGAATTTGTCCAAAACTTGGTTTAACCAAGTCAAAGCAAGTTGAACCTAGTGTTGACGAGTTTTGAGTCGGTTGCGAGTTTTAGCTTTAGTGTTTTTCATTTCTTTTTTTCCTTTTGTTTGAGAAAGACAATTGAACCCAAATCCACGGGTATCCAACTTAATTTGACCCGATCAATGCGAGTTAAACTTTCTCAAACCTTTTAATCTGTCCAAAATTTTTATAAAGGAGAACCATGATTACCTCAAACCAAAAAAAAAAAAAACCAAAAGAGTGTGACTATGTTTGGCCCGAATTTTAGAAGTTTTATGTTTTAAAAGTTGAAGCCAAGCCAAAGACCTCTAACCTCTAAAGTTTCACTTTTTTAAAAACTGAAGTTTTCGTAATTTAAAAGTAGAAGCTCCGATTTGAAAATGCAAAATTTTCCTTACCATATATTAATCTTTTCTAGAAAACATAATTTTCTTTCATTTATACCATTATACAAAAACAAAAAAATAGTATTATTTAATATGAAATAAATCTAACGTGATCCATTTTAAATACTTTTTATTTTTGAATTTGTATTCATATTTTATGTTAGTAATATTTTTAGTCATTTTCCATTACCTCTTATATTATAAAGTAATTCTGATAGTTTTTCAGCTAGACACTCTACAATTTTTTAAACACTTCTTGAAAAGATTTAGAAAAACTGCTTTATTCTGCAAAAGTTGCAGCAGGATCAACTGCTAGCTAATACTAATTGGAACATTAGCGTCATGAAAGAAGTTTTAACATAAATAACCTATTCGACGACCCTTCTACCTTATGCAAGTTTATCGGCTATATGCTATTGTAAATAACAAACCTATAAAAAAGAATGATTAAGAATGAAATAAGATTACTTTCACTTTTAGATTAATATTAAAACTATTACATTTAAAATATTTATTTTTCTAATACGCGAATCAACCGCGAGCTAACTTTTGCCAGTAGAACTAAAATAGAATGGTTAATTCGGATTAAGTTGAACATACAAGGAGAAGAAACAGAGGCGAAACTATTGACAGGACTCTAATATAAATCCCTCCACTATGCTCTTCTTACACAAGATCGTCATCAATCAGGCAATATCGAATAACAATCCTTAAGTAAAGGATGGTCATAGAAATGGAAGAGGGAAATCACGGCAACAACAAGACATTTCCTCCCATGACCAGCAATTTCGATCCAAGTTTTTAGCTAATGCTGGCTCCTCACAGCACTAACTAGAGACGGCCGCCGGACGGCGCCACCACCGTTATTCTTCGCCCCTCGCAACCTGAGAGGACTCCACACCAGAGACCTCCTCTGCAGCGCAACCACCGTTGGATGCTTCGGCTTCCACGAACCAGGCGGTGGTGGGCTCCCCATGAACTTGCTGCTAATCCTCGCAGGCGTCTCCGCCACCGTCCGCGCGGGCGTCCCGGAAGCCTCCGGCAACGGCGAGAACAGCCTCGAATACCTCTGCTTCCTGATGAACGAAGGCCGCCGCTGTGCCACGAGAGGAGTCGAAATGGTTGATGATGACGATGATGAGATGCCTGGTTCCGGGATGAGCGTGGCGAGGGAGACTCGTCGCTTCGGCAGACGGACTTCCGCCGGCGGAGGAGCAGGTCGGACTGCGAAGGAACCACGCCGCGCTTTCAATCTGTTGCTGTTCGCCGCTGCTGATGGTGGTGGTGGGATTGCTGTGGTGACGGCGGCTGAGGGTCTAGTAGGCACCACGTTCTCCTTTCTCTTCCACGTGGCGGCGGCTCCCTTGTCACCTGTTGAAGGTAAGTTTGTAATTCCACGCAGTGGCACCCTCAGCTTCGAAGGAGGAGGAGCGAGAGGCGGCTTTCTCTCTCCTCCCTTGCTGTTGTTGTAGCTATTCTCTGTTACTGCTGAAGTTGGTCTTATGGATGAGAACAAAGACCGAGCAGAAGCAATTGAAGCAAAAGCTCTGTTTTCCTGCTTGATTCTAGTCTTCTTTTCCTCCTCTAGCTGGTTCTCAAGCTCCCGTACCTGATTCCAAATGTTCAACCAAACCATTAACTTTTTTTCATAAGAGAAGGAAGGAGAAGACACTAAGAGTAATTATGTTGGTTTTCATTTTTTAGTTGTTATATCGCATTACCTTTTCTTGAAGACTCCTGCAAATGGATTCTTTGGTAGTGAGCCGCAACTGTAAAGCGTGGTTACTGTCTCGCAACTTCTTTGTTTCCTTCTCGTCATGCTTCAGCTTGTCCACCTAAGTGATTTTATCACCAAAGGAATTGAGTTACTGTGGTAAATAACTTGATGAAGAAGAAAAGGAAATGTGGTGGTGGTGTTTACGGTAGTACCATTTGCTTGTACTTCAAGAGCTCATTGTGATCTGAATGTTTGCGCGCAGGACCTGTTTCCACACCCCTGACACGTGTGGCGAAATTCAAAGAGCAAAGGGTCTCTCCCAAGTCAGCCGAACTAGGGCTTATCTGGACAAACATAAGGGTCTTGCAATCCTCTCCTGCATTTCATTTCACATACCCCCATCTCTGTTAGCAAAACTTTTAGTAGCTCTAAATTGACTTGAAAAACTGTATGACTGAGATAATAAAAGTGGTTCACCTAGAGAATTCTGCAGCATGTGAGTAAGCTTTGAGTTCCTGTAAGGAATGTGGCTTGATTTAGAAGCAAGAGCAGAAATGACGTCACCAAGGGCTGAGAGAGACTTGTTTATGAACTGGGATTCCTTCAATCTCTCGCCTTCAACTTCAATTTTCCCAACACGCTCGCTTCCAGCCAAGTCCACGAGCCAAAGGTGGCTCTTTGTCTTCAACCCGTCGATTAAACTCTCCCCGTTCACTGTGACTCGTAATAAGCTGCACAGGGAAGTAAATGGTTTTGGCCCATAATACAGGTAAAGGATAAAAGATGAACGTAAACAGTGGCTGATTCAGTGATACCATACCAGTGAGAACGGCTGCTTTGTTCATTGGCGCTTGTGGAACCAACTGATCTTATGCAGTTTCCTGACTGAAGTATCTTCCATACTTCCTCTGTGCTAGAGACATGAGATTCAACGAGCCCCGGCACTTCTTGAGTTCCATCAGCAGCTTGCTTTATCTCCAACCTTCATGCAATGTAAACACAAGTTGTTAATTGATCCTGTTAACCCTATCCAATAAATTTTTGTAATATTAAACACCTAAAAGCCAAAGCCATCATTATCTGCTGACCATTATTTAACAAGTTCAAGGATGACAAACAAATGTACCTTTTTGAAATCTCGCTGGGGTTCACCACTAGAAGGTCTCTCAACTTCTCATTGTAAACTTCCAACATGCTGACAAATAACTCGTATTTCATAAATCCCCTTCGTTCTTCAGAAACACGAAAGAGCTCTTCTAGAGTCCTGTAGTTCACTCCTCTATGTTCAGGTGTACCCTCCATAGTAAATGTCTTCCCAGTTCCAGTTTGCCCATAGGCGAAGATGCAGACATTATAGCCATCCAACACTGAAGTCACAATGGGTTTGGTTTCGGCGAATACAGCTTCTGCAAAATTCAGAAGATCCAGAGCTAAGAAATCTACTAGGACTAAACTATAGTCTTTTTCTAAAATAATGAGATCGGATCCAAAGTTTACCTTGGTTATCATCTGGTCTGAAGACATGGTCAAACTTGAACGTCTTTTTTGAAGAATCAGCAGCAAGAATGTGGAGCTCATTTTCTTGGCACGAGTCGAATTCAGCCACATTGTTGCATCCTTTCTCAACCTCAGCTTGGTTTAGTGGTCTACACCTGCAGAAGACCCTGATATTTCCTTTAAGCTCAATCACTTCATTGTAGAGCCTCTTCCTCTCAACTTGTTGTTGCACAAACTTCTTCTTTAGATGTTCATGCTCTTTACCTGGTGCAGAAAGCCAACAGCAGGGGTTATGTTCCTGGAATAAAAGATCTTGGCCTACGAATCCCTGAAGGGGAAATAAAGTTTGTGCAGATCGGGAAGCCAAAGTACAAGAAGTTACAGGCATCCAAAATTTTGAAAAATCACAAAATGCCCCATTTGCGGAACCTCACAATGAAATTGGGGAAGCAAGGTATCATAACAAAAGCTCACCAAGAAGTTGAAGAGCACCCACAAGTTCAGGCTGAGCAAAGAAATCCGTTGAGATATTTTTAACTTGATCTGAGAGAACTGCATGCTCATTCTTCAAGTTCTGAAGTCAAAAGAAACACTTAGAAGAGACAGATTAACTACCACAAGCATTAAACCAGCTTGGATCACTAAACTAATGTTAAAGCTGCCTTGCGCTAAATCCTGAACCCTTTCTTCCTCTTTTCCATCAACGCAAAAAGATTTATGTGAACCAACTTATGTAAACAAAAATTGAATTCCAGCCAATCAATTTTACCTGAATTTTAGTGCTCAGATTGGTAATTGTCTGAAGCATAGGCATTATTGTAGGCTCCTGAGATGAAGAAACCTCTTTACTCCCACTTGAAAAGTTACCTTCCTCCATTGAACTGGTGGCTTCCTCAATCGGCTCCAGAGAAACTGGGCAAAAGATCATACAAATTTATGTTACATTGCAGGAAGAGAACAAAGATACACTGTAGTATCCCTATCCCATTCACAATGACTAAAAATACAAGAATCTCGAATCTCAATGTACCTCCTTCCTTTGTTTCAGCAGCTGGAGTTTGATCTGATAACAGAATCCAAAAAACGCAGAGAATCAATCAACAAAAAGCAACATCCAGCGACATCGGCAAAAATAACAACCAAGAAATGAAGAGCGCCAAGAAGGACAGTGAAATCAAACAGGAGAAATAGCAACCTAGGGTTTCTAACTACTATGGAGAATTTTGCAAACGACCTCTCAAGAGAACTTCCGAGGAACTCAAAATAAAACTGAAGGGGATATTTTCTTATGTGCGACGGAAAGCAAGAGAACGCACCTGAGAAAGAAGACGACAAAGAAGCAGGCTCCGCCCGGAAGTGTACAGAGCCAGCACCACCGCAGCAACTCTCCGGAAAAATTTCCACCACTGGATCTGAGAGAAACAATAGAAGAATCTGTTCAGAGAAATTGAACCATTTCCAGTTCGGGAAATCAAAGATCAACAAGGAACCATGAAAATCGAAGACATCCAGAAGAGTTGAGAGAAGCCACGCACGAAGTACCTTCCATAGCGTAAGGATCAGAGACGGCCGCAGGTGAAAATTGGACAGAGCGAGTAGCAAGAAACCGAGAAGCGAGCGAGCAAAGAGCCGGAGACAGTGAGTGCGCTAGAGAGGGAGAGAGCAGATCAGAAATAGAGACCGGGAGTATAGGGTTTTCGAATTTGGGGGAAAAGTTTGAATTGAAAAGATGCGATTCGTTGGAAAGAAAATGGAAGGCTTACTTAATCTTTAACGGCTATATTTTTTTAAGGCACGGAGCGATTCGTTTCAAACTCCGAAATTTTAAGCGGGCCTCAATTTGTCCCGGCAATACGTTACTAGTTAGAACGATCTAGGCCCATTATCGGGCTCCTCTTTGGATCAGGCTTTTTAAACGTCAGGTAATGGAGACTAGGCCCATTTGCACAGATTAAGCAAAACTCTGCAAAAGTGACTTGAATTGATTGAAAAACAAGTTCAGGTACTGTTTATACATATTTCGGAAAACCAATGATCAAACACAAATATTGATTGCAATTTTTTCAGTGATATTCATGGGAATTGCTAATCCACAGGGCACAGGTGAATCCCCATGTCTAAATTTTTTTGAGAAGTAACAAGTTTACGTAGAGTTGAATTTTGCTCTTTGAAGTTCTGAGCAACATCATACATGGCTGCTTCAATCCCAAGCTGCTCATTTCACTACAACTCCCCATCACCATCCTCTTCTTCATTATCCAGCTCCTCCAATTGTTCATCCACAGCCACTCCTTTCACCTTATCTTTTCTTCCCTCCTCTGCCATCTCCAGTAGCTACAGGGTTTCATCCAGAATCAGGGCCAAGTTCGAGAAATTTCAGGGTGAAGAAGAATCGCTGTCCACTGAGGAGAACCCACCATTGCTAGCGCAGTCTCTAGCTCAACAACAAGAACTAGATGGAGGAGTGGATACAAAGGAAGAAGATGACAGGTTCAATCAATCAACACCCTCACTTTGACGTTTTAGACCCTTATTGTCTAAAAGGGGGTTTTCATGGCTTATTTTAACCCTGTTTGTGTGTTTTCCCCCCTAGCTGCCTGCCTTCAGATTTGGTGGATGCTGTGAGGCAATCTGGGGAAGCAAGTGCCACTTTTGTGTCTTCAGGAGGAATGAGAGCAATAGTATGTATGTCCCCATTCAATAGCTTGGCCAATTTTTTGTTTTTGGTGGCATATGATAAGAAAGGTGTTATGTTTCCCTTTGGTGGCAACAAATTTTTGTAGGTGGAGCTTTTGATCCCACAGCTTCAGTTTCTTGATGATGAAGGTGCACAAGCTGAGCTATGGGATCTCTCAAGGGTTTTCGTGGAAACCCTAATGGAAAAGACAGGAACCCAGGTTCCAGTTCACCCATCATCTATAAAAACTTTGAACTTTTCAATATTTCTTTTACCTTCTAGTGATAACACTGTGAAAGGCTTGGTTTGATATTTCAGAGAGTGAAAGCCATATTCCCAGATGCTGGTGCTGCTGCACTTCTCAAGTACAGATGGAAAGAAGCAGCCTTTGGATTTGCTAGGTAAGTCCAGTTTTCAACATGTCTTCCTCATCATGGATTCCATTTCACCCTGTATATTGAAGATGTTGAAACAAATTTTGTGACTCAAGTTTAGTGGTTCTCTATTATCAGCTTGGGCGACAGGAAGCCAGTTGATAGCGAAGATGAGATTGTGGTTATGGTTGTTCCTGATTACCAAATGCTCTCATCTGTGGAGAAAATCACAGCTAGTCTTTCAGACGATCCGGTACAACAGTTTAGCTGAAATTGGATTCACCCATGCTCATGACCTCATCAGTATGCATTTTGTTGATTGTATTTATGGTCTCCTATCCAGCCAAGGCCACTCATCATGTGGAATCCGCGCCTCATTAGTGAAGATGTTGGAGTTGGGATCAATGTTCGCAATCTCAGGCGCTACTTCTTGAGGTAAAATGGGAGGCAGATCGATACAAGATGCATTTTTCTTGTAGTTTCATGGCATTAATGAACTAACCGTATCTGATATCTCTAATCTGCCATGTTGCAGCACTTTCACCACAGTTTACTCGATGAGACCTCTGCCAGAAGGTGCTGTCTTCAGGTGTTATCCAGGGTAAAATGAAGCCAAATCCTAGGCACATTATTTTATAGGTCTAAAATCTTGATGCCTCCCTTTTATCAGCATCCTGAAGCTCCTAAATGTTTCTTTACTTTGATCTGTTTACCAGATTGTGGAAGGTGTTTTTTGATGACAAAGAGAGGCCTAATAGATATATGCTCGCTAAAGAGTTTATAAGGCGCCCTGATGCTGACGATATCGAGGTTAGTTTTGTCACCAGAAAGATCAATTTAGTAGATCAGGGAACAGGTACAGAAGAAATAGTAACAATGTTGATTTCACTATAATCTGCAGATAATATTTGGGAATGGAGGAGAAAACTCCGAGGAGGGTCAATCTTTCTTCAGCCAAGCTGCTAGCATTTTCTCTTCTATAAACAGATTCATGAGAGTCATATCAAAGTAGCTAGCTTATATGTGTACATCCCCCACAGAGATCCCTCATACTTCTGAAGCCATGGAAACACAGCTGTTAGTGATCAAGAAGGATGCAGTTATCTTACATTATAGTTATGAGTTCTGCCATGACGCTGGCTCACTGCTTGTAAAACCTTGAAACTTCAATACCAATCTACATGCTTTGTTGATGTCTTTGGTTGCTTGGTCTTCGGCTTCTGGACTGACTGTTCTCAAATCTTGCTTTGACAATGAGTGAATACTGCACTTCAGGTTCTGCTGAGCAGTCGTAGGGTACGCCATGCAGAAGTCCAGAATACCACATTGTTAAGTGCAGCAAGTTGAGAAACTAAGCTTAGTGATCTACTTGGAGGCAGATGATGACCCAACCTATACAACTCATAATTCAAAATCGACCCGGTTTGTATTAATCTGCAACCCATTTACCTATGACATGTTCTGACCCTGTCCATACCAGCAATGGACTCCCCAGGAGGCTGATTAAATACATTTGACTTGTGGGATTTATTAGTGTTAGGCGATAGTTTCGGCACACAAAAGAGAGAAAAAGAATGCATATTTTGCATTAGAACTTAAAATAAGGATGGAATGCTCACCAAGAAAAAAAAAATTAATGATTACAATTACAGATTGACCTATAAAACACATTCAATCAAACTGATACTTATTCAGGATTCAGGAATAAATCAGGGTACATTTTTATTTCCAAACCCAACTAAACTTCCCCACCTAGCTCAATGATGAACTGCATGGCCACCAGGGTAATTCCAGCCACTGGAGGAACCTCGAACGACAATTTGATCCTCATTTGCTCACCCGGAACCAGCGAGAAGTAGTTATCACTTATCAGAATAATGAACAGGAAGGATTCTGGTGTCTTCACCCTCCTGATACTTGGCATTTGCAGCATGAACAGAAAAATGATTCAGGATTCAGGAACAAATAAGGGTACATTTTTATTTCCGAACCCAACTAAACTTCCCCACCTAGCTCAATGATGAACTGCATGGCCACCAGGGTAATTCCAGCCATGAAGAGTCACCCTTGGAGTGACCCCTGGAGGAACCTCGAACGACAATTTGATCCTCATTTGCTCACCCGGAACCAGCGAGAAGTAGTTATCAGAATAATGAACAGGCAGGATTTTGGTGTCTTCACCCTCTTGATACTTGGCATTTGCAGCATGAACAGAAAAATGATTAAGATTCAGGAACAAATCAGGGTACATTTTTATTTCCAAACCCAACTAAACTTCCCCACCTAGCTCAATGATGAACTGTATGGCCACCAGGGTAATTCCAGCCATGAAGAGTCACCCTTGGAGTGACCCCTGGAGGAACCTCGAACGACAATTTGATCCTCATTTGCTCACCCGGAACCAGCGAGAAGTAGTTATCAGAATAATGAACAGGCAGGATTCTGGTGTCTTCACCCTCTTGATACTTGGCATTTGCAGCATGAACAGAAAAATGAATGAAAAATGCGACTCCAACATCACTGCCATTCACTTCACAGACCCTCGAGGAGTTCCCATCAGTTTTGCTGAAAAAGATCCTGGACAGACTTCTGAAGAAGCCACCTTTACGCGTCCCATCATCATGATCGTTTTCTTGTGAATTGGTTATTGCAGGCTGCAGCTCTGAGTTCGAATCATAGTCATCACCAGTAGCCTTGTGTTGGATTTTGGTGATGAAGTTGTTCTGGTCGGTCGAATGTCTGGAGGGGTCAGGTTTCTTGGACCTGTTCTGGACAAGGACCTCCATTTCATAGGTTGTTCCACTGATGAAGGTCTGTGTCGTGAGCTTGAGAGGGATCTTCTTCTTCCTGAATGGCTCCAGGGATTTGTAATCGCCACCAGGCAGATGCAGCCAGTAGAAGTTCCTGGATAAGATGCTGTAATCCGACTTGTTGTAGAGTTTCAGTAGGAGGAAGTATGCTGGTTTCGGATTCTTGGACTTGGGGTACTTCATTTCTGCAATGCGTGTAGTCTTTTTCGAAGGAATTGAGAGGTCTTCGTAGACTTTGTAATACGGGGATGTTCCTTCCAGATCCCATACAGATGCTTCTATAGCCACATCTGACAGATCATTTGGTAGGGTATTGACAACCTGTTTGTGAGAAAGGAGAATGGTAAGCTCATAAATTTCAGCAGGAGAATCAAAGGGTAAATATTGTGTTGAAGTTTTTAGCCATTTCTTGCCTCTATGAAATAAGTAGCCAGATTTAGCTGGACGTGTAGTGGTTCTGCAGCAGAACGACAGCCATAAAAACCTGCAGTTTGGTCGAGAAGATGATCATAAAACTGGCCTCGAAGACCTGTCCATGGGTTCTGGTTCTTCCAAATAAGGACACCAGTGTACTTGCTCCACATATGAGAACTATAGCCCTCCAGAAGAGCTCTGTATTGGATATAGTTTACAAGTTGAGCCTGAGATGCTCACAGCACAAAGAAAAGTCGGTATCAGTTACGATAGTAATATATAACAGCAAATAAACTTCAAATAGAAGGTAACTGCAAAGATACCTTCAGGCAAAAATCATCAAGGTCTGTTGGGAGGCCGTATAGCAGTATTTGATCATGAACCTTGCCAGGTTTGGAATATGGAATGTATTTGTGGTATGTCCATATTGGGTTTGGCACCTCTTCCACATAACCATCAGCAACCTTGTTAAACAATGGGATTTGCCATCCCTCTATGGGCATTGTAGCTCTGATAGTGGCAGCAACTGGCATTCCCACAGAACCAACCTCAGGGTTGAAGCCATACTTGTAGAAGTCGTCCTTGAAGAAGCTCTCAGGGTACTGAATCTCATACGGCCCATCGGTGAAGTTCCCTTGGCCATCGGCGAAGCCATCCCACATTGATCCTTGAATGTAGATTCGTGTGCCATCGAGATAGTCGCAGAGAGCTGTTGACACTGTGAGTTTTTTACCTCCTTCTATGACGGTTTGGAAATGAGGCATTAGTTGCAGGTCTTTCTTTAAGGCATTGTTGATGTCAGGTGGTGGCACTTGTTCGTTTCCACCTACCCAAAGAGCGAGACTTGGATGGTTCCTTAGGAGCTTGACGGTGTCGCGGGCACATAACAAGAAGAGGTCATGATCCAATGGACCATTTGGATTTGAAACAGGGACTCCTCTTCCGTCGACATCTCCAGTGATCCAAAATTCTTGCCACACCTGAAAACAGATTAGATTAGAGGCACAAGTTGTGTTCTCAAGGCAGTGCTTTGAACTCCTGCAGTGGGCTTAGTTCTGGGGATGGGAACAAGGCAGCAAATTCGATTGAGCAAATTGCATAAACAGTCACTAACAAATGGGTGACTGAACTACAAGTTTTGACAAACTTATCACTTAAGTTCGAAAAAACAAACATACAAGTCATTTCTACCATGTCTATCGGGTTTTCCTTTCAAATGTTCCACACCAGTCTACTAACTAAATCAAATTAATAAAAGAGCAATTACATAGGGCCTGATTAGCTAATATGACAACCTCATTTTAACCCATATTTCATTCACCCAAATTTCATAAATCGACCATATTCCAACCTCTGATTACCTGAAGCTATGTTTTATCCCTTCCTTTCCCAATTTTACATTAATAACACAGATCCAGATCTTTCTGTAGTAAACCAGAGATAAACCAGATGCGGTGGGGAGAAAAAGGAGAAATCCCCGGCGTTCTGTGACAGAACTTCTGTCATGTCCCAAACGCAAGAGGGGGGAATAAGGAGGAACTGGACTTACTAGTATGCCATAAATGTCACAGTAATGATAGAAATCTGGTCTCTCAGCCACCCCACCACCCCAACAGCGGATCATGTTGAAATTCATATCAGCATGGAACTTTATATCTGTCTCGTACCGTTTTCTGGAAAGCCGCAGCAACCCATCAGACACTATCCAGTTACCCCCTCGGATGAAAATTGGTTTGCCATTGACCTTGAACAACCTACTTGAGAACAAGAGCTTAAGAAACCATGCAGGTTGCATATGTATGCAGCAAGACAATGCCTAAGGTGAACCAATCACAACTAACCTTCCACCAGTGTTCTTGTCGATGGAGCTCTCGATTTTACGGAACCCAAACAGCTGGTTCCAAGTATCAGATTCTCCATGTCCCTCGATATTGGCAGTGATGGTGACATTGTACAAAGCCTGCTTCCCCATGCCATTTGGCCACCATAAGTTTGGCTTGTAGAAGAATAGCTGTTCATTCAACTCACGCTCCATTAGTCAACTGAATTGTTCAAGTATTCACATGAACATTCTAGAAAAAACAATTTTCTAACCTGAGGAAATGTGTATTGTACGCATTTACCAGCAGCTATGGCCAAGTACTGTGTCTGCAGATGCTCCACTAAGCAAACATCTCCCTCTAGTTCTGTTGTCACTTGAATGTTTACGGTACACCCAGCCACAGTAGAGCTTCGATTCTCCAACTCCACTGCAGCTTCCAGATATACCCTTGTATAGTTATCATAGAAAGTCGAGACCAAGTGTGGATCGATTATTTTCACTGGCTGTAAGGAAAAAAAAAATTCAAGATGCATAATTAGGAAAAACGTTACATAAGCATGCCTTCAACAAAAATTCAGCAGCAAGAAACAGAAGCTCACCCCAGTAACTGATATGGACACCTCATCCCAAATGCCAGTATTCCTATCCCTGAAATTACACGAAGAACTTCATCATCTAACCAAGAAAACAATAAGCAATTGGACTAGATTATGCAATAAAAAACCAACAACATTCGCCACCTTATGGGACAAATCCAATCCCATCCCTCGACATACTGTGTCGTGACATCTTTCCCAATCTGCAAGATACAGCAGAATCCTTGTTAGTACTACTTAACACTGAAATCTACATATGATTTCATTGCTTCAAAGCTAAAGGCATTGCCTGAATCATTTCACACACCTCATGATCACCACCCTGGCCGCCTTCGGGAGGGATTTTGCCAGGATGATCTGGTGGATGAACTAGAACTGCTAGCAAGTTGCTTCCCTCGCTATTTAGAATGCTAGTAACATCAAGAGAATGCCTTCTGAACATCCCCTTAGGCAATAGCTTTTGATGTCCATTTAGATACACTTCGGCAGAGTAATTCACTCCACGGAAGTTCAGATCCAAGAACTGATTTGCTGACTACAACATTTCCAAATAAAAAAAGTCAACATACAGGTTCAGCAAACAATTAGACACAATGAAAAATCAGAACAGAAAAAGAATCTTCAGTTCATAATCATACCAGATTAGAGTCGAAAGTTGTAAAGAACCAGTATGTGTAGTAATCCCTCCCAGAATCAGCAATATCGAGGATTGCTTCGTTCTCCAGTCCGTAAAATGGATCAGGAACTACTTTGTTCTTTACAAGGGTTGCCAAAACACTGCCAAAGAGAAAAAAAGGCTTCCACAAATTAGCCACAGTTACCAATTGCAGATAAAGAAACAATAACTAGCATTCATAGTAGAAGTTCAGCAATGTTCCTGATCATAAAACTAAAGCAGTGATCTGTACGTGCATCTAAAAGTTGGTACAAAGAGCATAGCATTTCATCATCTATGTAAAAATCGCATTGAAACCAGTTTCCCCAAGACTACAATACTGACCAACCCAACAAGCAGACAGCTGAAAAGAATCAAACTTTACTCAGAAACACAGCTGCAGAAAAATGCCAGAAAACGAATGGATTTTCCTGTTTTCTGCAGAAAAAAAAAATTACCTTCCGGGGACAACAGCTTCCATCCATGGCGACTTGGGTCCGACGGAAGGAGGGTTAGTGGTAGTGAGCTGAATCCCGGTGAGCTTGACCTCCGTCGATCTAGCCGCTATCCACCCAGAATCGAGAACCCTCTTCCCAACCGCCACCACCATTGCTGGCTGGAGATTCTTCAGCTTCAGAGATATGGCGGAAGCGAGGGAAAGTAATTCGGGAGGAGGGAAGTGGAGTAACTTGAGGGAAGGGACGGGAGAGCAGTGGTGTCAGACTTTGATTAATGCTGAGTACACGTAAGTCGTATTATGGACTGTTGCTCAATGAATAATGACTAGTGATGAAGATGCAAAATGGGAAAATGCCGTTTTTTGTTCTTTAGGCAAAACGTGGTTGGCATTGTATTCGAAGCGTTTTCCCTTTTTCTTGCTATATGTCGTTTCTGAAACACCTTGTTGGCTGTTGCTCTTGACTCTTGAGAGACGTGATTAAGAAATACCAACTG